TTGTCTCAGCAATGAAAAAAATAACTAAGACAATTTTCTTCCACATGTGAAGCTTCCACTTTTTTAAAGCTTAGCTCAAGCTTCTGCCTACCCTTAGCACATCAGAGGTGTCTCCTGCCTGTGGCTCAGAGATGTAACCTGTAGGAGAAGGGCAGGGACAAGCAGGGTAGAAGACACAGGAACAAAGCAGCAAGTGACACTTGTGCCTTACTCACACCCAGTATGGAATATGCCACTTCCAGCTCACAATAGATTTCAGCAGGGTCCTCCTGCTTTGTGGCTCGGTGGAGCTTATGATGAGGCCAGAAAGGGCATGAAAATTGTGGCATGAACTTTCTTTAGGTTTGCATGCATTTCCTCTTCCCTTTCTCATTCATGTCCCTTTTTCAATGAAATGTCAAGCTCTACACAATGTTTCCTATGCTTGGTTTTCCATAGCATACAAGGAACTCACAGCTGGAGGACCTTAGGTAGCAGAATACTTGCTATTTCTTGTTATCCATTCATGGATGTCTTCAAGAAGCAAGAAGTAGAATTCCAGGCCACCTGCTGATGATGCTGGCCACTCCTCCTACTCTATCGCCTTAAGAGGCGCTGTCAAAATAACAAATGACATATTTTTAAGCCACAATTACCCCTTAGCTAGGCTCTCTTGGTTTGATTAGCAGCTACTTCTCCTCCTGGTGTGTTTCTTCATCTTTTCTTCTTCTTTTCATTTTCTTCCACTGCCCCTTTCATCAATAAAGATCACGACTTTAAGGAAAATACTTCTTCTCCAGGAAGTACTTACCAGTATCCTATTACAATCAGATTGTCTTGTTCAGAAGCAGGTGGTATTACCTGTCAACAGGACTTGGAGAATAGCAAATAGCCACCAACCAACTAAGCAGAGCTACTGCTTGGCTCCTGAGCAGATAAAGCGGCAAAAGGAGAGAGTCTTTCGGAGGCCTCAAAATCTCATTTTCATTCCCCTTGCAGAGAAGAGACTGGCTTTATTGACTAAGACGACTGAAAATTGCTTGAGCGTTCCAATAACCAGTCTGCACTGAAGCAGAGAGACAGTCTGGCAGAGGCGAGCTCCCTGCTCTATCACGCAGCCCCGCTGAGCCATGTTTTGTTGCAGCACAAGCCTGTGGCATATGCAGACCAGACTGAAAGGAGCCTCCTGTCGTCCTCCAAAGCAGCCCCTCTCCATCTCCCCTCCCAGCCTGCTGGTGCAGTTCCTGGATCCCAACCACAAATCAACATGTGTTCAGAGAGTCTCTGTCAGAAGCCAAACTCTGAGGCTGATTCAGGGACCTGGGATCAGCAGTGGGTTAGCAGGACCAGGCGAACATCCCACTTCCCACTGGAGCGCTCTGTAGCCTGACTGCACATTCCAGACAGGCCACTAGATGTCACCATCATCGATTCTTGTCCTTGTACACAAGTCCTGATAATCGCAGGCTAGAACTCTAGACTCGGTTCCGTTACAACCTTGAAGGCAGAGCTACTGTGAGTGCCATGACTGCCTGAGCTCCTTGGGGGGACTTTTCAAGACTGGTTAGCATGTCAGATCCAAAACAGCTGAGCTGACAGTTACCCAAGAACAGCATCCACTAGAGCAAACCTCAGTTCTCACAATCAGGCTCCCTACTCTTTCTCTCCTCTTGATGTTTGTCACAGACAATGGTCATGTATTCTGGTTTACTTGGGTCCTCAACAATCAATATGTGCACATCACATCATAGCACCAGGGATCTTAAATGTCTACGTGCTGCTGAGACAACATAGGTCTGTGGCTTTTAGCAGAGAATGAATGACAGATGGATAATTGATGGTGATTCTTGAGACCTGAACTATAATTATGAAGTATTTCTAGGTGTAGATTCAAGATGCAAAGTGTACAGAATCCAGAAACAATGTTAATTTATTACTGACAGCTGTATATATAATAATGTCATGTCTTTTAATCTTAAATTCCTTCCGATTTACATCAAGCAATCTTTTCATTCATTAATAAAATCAAGTCTTGCCATCATTCTTAATGATGAAATTCCATTTTGAGCCTGGAGAGCTCCTCTAATGAAACTCCATATTTCTACACAGCAAACACTTGAATCTCAAAAAAAAAAAAGATAAACTGAATTTCTTGTTTTATAAGCAAGGTGAAAAATGTCAGAGAGATGGGAGCCACCTGCTGAGAGTCCCATGGGAGCTAAGTTGCAAAATATGGAATAATTTTTCAGTTTATCTTCTCAGCTCACACTACTACGTCCTTTTCCCTTTTACTCCTCTACATCCTTTCACTTTTCCTTGATCTTTCCTTTTTTGAAGCAAAATACTTTTTAAAGGTCATGATAAAAATTATAGCTAAAGGAGAAACAGGCCCCATGTCTTGTCCAATTTTCTGTGCTGTGCCAAAGACATGATTAATCCCTTCAAAAAATATCTAATCTAATCTTATTACAACAAAGACAAGGCGTCCTTCATAAGTATCATGGCTGGAAACAAAGGTCTTTTTCAAGTTTCAGCTGTGTCTCACTCTATTTCTAGCCAGTCATCATCACCTTACAACTTACTGTACTGTCCTAAGAATGCCTAAAATTTAAACAGTGCTGTGGTTTAAGTTGTAAAGCACTATGCATTATCAGACTCCCTGGCCACTTTAGGAGATACAAACCCATGATACTTGTAGAAGAAGTAAAACCTTTATCAACTAATTAATGACCTTAAAGTAAAATAACGAGGTGTGCAGAGACAGGGGCTCAGTTATCTCGGTCATCTCTCATCTGGAAACAGAATCAGATTCCACTGAATAGGTGCTAGTTCGTGGAGTAAGCAAGTTTCCTATCTGTAATGCTAAATCTTACTATGATTGGTTAATTAAGTCATGATAAATAACATTCTGTGGCAGGTGGAAGGTGCTGAGAAGAGTTTAGATGAGATGTCCACAAGTTCAATGGAATTCCACCTGAATGACTTTGCATTCCTCTAAAAAATGTTTACGGTGATTTTCTGGAAAGTTTGTTTACAAGAAAAATACTGAGGTGTTTGTGTGAAAGGCAGTTTGAAGTTGTTTAAATTTTTCTGAGATTGAGCATCTTATGCCTTCTCTCTTAATTCTTCCATTTCTTCTTTTCTTCCTGTAATGTTTACTCTTATTGGTACTATCCTGCACTCCTGAGTAGGGAAGAGCATCAACAGTAGCAATGACCCATTGATATAATAAACAACTCAAAGGACTCATTGACTTGTTCACCAGACAGATCTGTGGGTCAGCTAGGGGATCAGTACCTCACCATCAGAGACAGGGTGGCCACTATTTCCAACATTGGCAATTATCAAACCAGGGGGAAAGTATTCTGGAAGGAAATGCACTGGCAATTAAAAGCTCCAGTATGGGGGTGATGACCCTCTCTTCTACACATAATTCAATAGCCCATACCAATCACAAGCCACGCCCATGAGCCACAAGAGGACCAAGAAGTCCTATCTAACCATATGGGAAGAGAAACAAAATAGCTGGTAAATACAGACGTGAACAAAGGAAATTCAAAGATACATTTACTTTCTTCTTGTTTTAGAATTTCCTTATCTTTTCTAAATTATGTTTTCTCTTTTATTTATCTATTATTATTATTATTATTGTGGTGCTGGGGGTCAAAGACAGGACCTGTCACATGCTAGGCAAGCACTCTGCCTTGAACGACACCCCTGCTCTCTTCCCTGACCAAATAAATTTCTGATTTCTGTTGCGGCTACTTTCAGATTCATGGCTATTAGTTAATAGAGTGCTCAAGAAAAGCCTCTCTTCAGATAGTTATAAACTAGACTTCTTTAGCCCAAAGGGAGGAGAACAATTTTCACATAAATTGTTTGTTTTTACTTTTACCCTTCTGTATTTCTGGTTGTCCTTGTTTTTGTTTGTTTGGGTTTTTTTTTTCTTCTTCTTCTTCTGCCCAAACATGCTCATCTCCTACTCCATCTCTTTTATTGAAAACAATTACTGGGCCTTCATTTCTACATCTTAGCTATTTAGTCCAACTGGTGAAAGAGTGTGTGGAATAGCAGAATTCTAAATTTGTTGGTTTCTCAACATCCAAATTCTTGCAAATTTGTATCCTGAGATACGTAAGTAAAATTACAGCCCTGTCTCAACAGTGATAAATTTTGGGTCTTCCATTTAAAAGCAGACAGCCCAGCCCCCTTGTAAAGGCACCTAAATATACTGGATGTACACAAAAGATAATTTCACCAAACAAGCCAGTACACTGCTATGACCAGAATCTTCAACTTAGCTTCCTTCCCCGTCTTCTGCCCACCTGCAGAGTTTAACCCAAGTACCAGGCCGTGTAGTTCCTCACACACCAAAACTGCCCAGTACTCTGTGACGCTGGGTGGAATTCTTCGCTGGCTTGGGAAACCCAAACAGGACTGCTTATATCTCGGTGAGTAGTTCGTGAAACAGCTCAAACTGACAAACACTATCTTGTCCTCAGATGACTTTGGTTTGTGTTACTGGGTCAAGGCCAACCAAGACTGGCCCTACACCCCTCAACAGCCTCTCAGGCTAAACTGTTTTCCCAGAGCCGCCCTGAATTCCAGCCATGAACTCAGCCAGCACATCCACATTTTAACCAAGAACACCTCAAAACGTGCAGCCCAATCAGAAGAAATTACACCAATTCACACAGGGATGAAAAGGACGTCAGTGTCCATTACTGAGAGCCAATTATGAAAACGGCGGGCTGAACGAGTTAACCCACAGCAGATTTAGGCGACGTGGGGAGACTCCGAAGTGTGAACAGTCACTGACTTCTAGACCTAGACGACCGCGCACGGGTCAATAAGCCGGACAAATCCCGCGCGCGCCGGTCGCAACCGGGACTGTAGAGAACTAGCCGCACACCTTCCTCGCGCCCGCCCCGCCCCAACTGGCCGAGGGCCGAGAGTCAGTGGGCGTGGCTGGGCAGTTGCCCCGCCCCTGCCGCCCGCCACTCGGGTCACCTGACCCTCCCGTGGCTCACGTGATCCGCTCCTCGCGCCGCCATCTTGGAGCTCCGGATGAGGAGGGGCAAAGAGGGGGAAAAGAGGGAAAGGATCCGGGAGAGAGGTGGGCGAGGACCAGGGCGAGTGCACGGCAGGGCCCTGGCCGGCCAAAAGAGGCTAGCGGAAGCAGCAGCCGCCGCCTGACCGCAGGTACCGCGCCCCGGGGCCGCCCCTTTCGCTGTGAGCGCCGCCGCCGGCCATGTGCATCCTTCCCTCAGGCCTCAGCCGGCGCCGCTTCCTCCTCAGAAGGCGGACGCCCGCCGGGTGCTCGCCACACGCCCCAAGTTCCGGGTCCCATTTCTGTCCGCTGTGCCTTTCAGGGCTAGGCTGCAGAGACTCCGGGCTTGCCCAGCAGCTGAGGGTGGGGGCGCTTGCCGCTCCGCACACAGTCCCCAGTCCAGTCCTTAGGCAGGCCATCCTGAGGCTTTGCTTCCCTCTCCTCTGCAGCAGTGAATCGTTTAGGCCAGTCAGGATAGACCTAACAGCGCTCACGGCCGCCCTCTTCATTACTTTCCTCAACCCCCATTGCCTCGGCCGTGTAGAACCTGGTACAGAAAAGCAGTCGTGGCCTTCCTCACACTTCACCCTCTTCACCAGTGGAATAATCTTGCCAGAGATCACAGACCGGTGAGGGCCTCTCAAGGGGATGGTTTGTGTGGAAGGCCTGGATGATTAATTAGGCAGAGGGCAGCCCTCCCAAACCCGAAGGTGGTCGGTCTTTCTAGCTCTACAGTGGGCTGTGATTTGCTATCAGTCTGCATCGCTGTTATCAGGCAGTTACTGGTTTTATCACCACCTGGAGTTTGTACTTTCTTCAGCACTCCACTTTATGTTGATTAAAAGAGAAAGTCTGACCCTTCACATCTTTACAGCAATAACTGGTTGAAAATTAACTTCAGAAGAGACCGAGTGATTTGCTTTCAGCCCCACCAGTGCACTGTGTTGCTTAACCATAATCGATAAGGTAGTTGCTTTCTGGGTGAAAAGAATGAGCATTCTTTTGATCTTTTAGACTCATTCTTGGCTAGTATAAGAAATGGTAGCAAAGAAATATAGGACCAGGGCAGAAAACTGCATTAGGAGATATATAGGTCAAGCCACTGACATATATTTTCATGCTACTATTCTGCCCACTATGCTTGTCAAATTTGCATAATCCCTCTCTACATTCTATTTTTGATTAAGATTAAAATAGTACAATGTAACTTACTGTTCCATACTCATTAGAAAATGTCAGTAAAACCTGTAGGGTATTTAGCCAGTTACATACATTCTGAGGTAAAAGGAAATACATAGTTTCCAGAGCTATTCTTTCCTAAATTCTTCAAAATCCTCACGTCTACTTGTTAGATAAATGATGTGAATTAATATCACACAATTACATTGTATGAACACTCTTCTCACTTTCTTTTTGATACAAAGTATTGGAATGTTTTCACTGCCCAAATGAATCATTACTCTGTTTCACCAAGAAGGAGAAATGTTTGATACTGTATACTTTCGTTCTTGGTCACAGCTGGATTTTGAAGATTGATCCAAGGGACTGTATTAATTTCAGGAATTGATTTGAAAGACACTGGCTCTGCCACTTAACAGCCATGTAACCTTGGGTAAGTCACCTAAACCTCCCTGAGTTTCCTCATTTGTAAGATTGTATGGCACCACCTAGCAGATCCCAAAGAGTTATGAGGATCAAGTACACTGACATACTCTGTATAGCTTAGCTGTAAGGGGCTGTTAGACTTTTTAGTGTGTTCTTGTTCTCACTGAGAGTTGACAGGAAAATTGGTATATTAAAGACAGCATAGTTTTAGAATCAGATTGATTGGATTCCAGTTCTTAAATTGGCTTATATCTTTGAGCCTCATGTACTACTGTACATCTGTGAGGTTCCTCACCTGCAAAACAGAGACTAGTATTACCAGGAATTGTGTGAGTATTATATAAATTCTGCACAGGCAGTACTCCCTGGACTTGCATCTCAAGGGCAAGGCTTTCCTCTTATTTTTTTTGTAGTCTATTAACACTGTGATTGGCACATTATAGGTGCTCAGTAAATCATAGTAAATTTCAGTATTGATGAATTTTAGTTAGCCATTATGTCTTAACTTTAACTGGCAAATTAGAATATTCTCTTAGGCTAGCTTCCAGCTCAGAAATTCTAGACTGTGAAATTCATACACTTGAGATATTTATGCTTTTTTCTTAGTGGCAGCTAATAATTACATTGAGCTAAGGAGATTTTAAATCAAATAAATTGTAACTGGCATTAGTAAGGTAAACCTACACAGTGTAGGCCGCTTCCACGTAACTATATAGACAATTTGTAATCTAGGCACTGGAAAGTTTACCCATCCCCACCCTCTCAATTTTAAACTGAAGAACCTAAAACCCACAGAGGTAGTGACTTGCCTAAGGTCACACAGCTAACTGAGAGGATTTTAGAAGAGAGACCTATGAGCTTTTGCCCCTTATCCTTTTTTGGCCTGAGCAAAATGTTTTGTACTTTTGAATTATGAGAATGTGGGAAAATGGAGAATTGGCATTACTTCTGTGGAACAATTTTTTTAAGTTGAAAAAGAACAAATCTTTTGTGTGAGACAGTTCTTTATATCATATTGTGCTGTCTTAGTATATACATAGAAAATTATAGCCTTTCTCCAGGCCCACATGAATTGTTCAACTTGATTTGACTTAGGATAAACATACTACTGTAACTAAAAGGAACTAATTAGATACACAAGTAAACCAAATAGCAAATTATAAGGAAATAAAGACAACTAAAATAATTTGGCTGTTAACTTTTCTTGGAAAAGACATTAATTATAAGCTTTTGCCTCAGTATTGCTGTTGTCAAGGAAAGATATAAAAGACTCAGTGGAAAAGGTTATAGAACTTTGCTGGTTTGGAATACAGTTTTTGATTATTGCTATGTAACAGTCTGATCTAATGTTATTTCTAATGATTTCAAACAAAAAACTCTCTTGTTTCACTCATACCTTTAGTCTTCTGTCTTTTTATTGAACTTTCCTATTCATCTATTATGATCTTTTCCCTGACCTCTAAATAGCATGTTTATTCTCACACAAATAAATGATGATTATGGCAGCCTTTCTGGTCACTCTTGCCCTCGTATCAATAGTACTCCAGAGAAGCAAATGGTGCACTCATTAGGATAATTCAAGGAGAGTATATTTACAAAATTACTGTTAGAAAAGTTTTCAATTTGTATAGGCAAATCAAGGGAAGAATGCAGTTAACATCTAGTGGTATCAAGAGAAGGGAGAGGTGCCAGAACCAGAAGCAAAGCCTTGTAGAGCAGCCTGTCTGGAAAGAAGTGGCACTCTTTTGAGCAATAGAGCCAGTCCAAATTGACCTAGAGGTGAAGTGCTCAGATGATGAATAGCCTGTTCTCAGTCTGCCAAGTCCCTCTGATCTGTGATGGCTCTCCATTGGCAGATCTTAACCAGAAACCAAAGGGTAGGGGAGCCTAATGATGTCATCCTCCTGGGACCAAGAGCAGAGTAGAAAGAAAGATTCAGGGAGGCTAGAGGGCAAATGGATGATGATGTCTGACATACTGCACATCCTTTGGGGTCCGGTATACATCTTACCTCTTCAGAAAGTCTTTTGCTTACTTTCCTAGCCCAAGGGAGCTCTTTAGTTTCTGTTAGGATCTGGCCATGGACTGTTGCCCTCTGGTGATTTTACCTTTGTGTTAGTTATTCCATTATACAAAACCTGCTAATTCTTCTTAGCTTCTAAATGTTTATCTTATTCACTCCATTTGGTTTGCAGCTATCGGTGCTATGAATTTAAAATGTTTTCATTTTTCCTGCTACTTTCTTGGTGCCTTGCACATAATTTTTTTTTGGCATTTTATTATGAAAAACTAAACATTTACACAAGCACAACAGTATAATGAACTAAGCAACTTCATCTCTTTTATTCAAATAAGTTATTCTTCCCTTGACATATTATGTGTGTATATGACTATAAATATAATGTGTAGATTATGTATAATGTATAGATATATGTATATCATATAGAAGATTCCATGAGAGATCAAAGTAAAATTTTTGTGAAAATTTAAGAGTTGGCTTTAAGATAACTGCCCCAGTGTGTATGTTTTTATATGAGTTGTTTGCTTAACCTTTTTTTAACAGAGGCTTTTGTTTTCATGAGTTTTAACTTGTGCACTGATTTGGCATGTAGACCCAAACTGGTTTTTCAGGTGTTTCCTGATATATTTTATGTTGTCATATCTGTTTTATAGCTGCCATTACTGTACTTATCCCCAAATGTATGCAGCCTCTAAAATGAGATACTTACATAAATGTTCAGGGAAAATTGGAGCATCTGCTGCAAATTTCCATTAGTTCCTAATGCCTGAGCAAGCACAGCTTTAAAAATGTGAGTGTTTTGTCAGATTCTTTTGTATTAGTCTTTCTTGAGATAAGATGAACTCCTCCCCCTCTCTTCATTTTCCTTTCTTTTTTTTTTTAAGGAACACACTGAAATATCCATGGGGAATAATTTGCACTATGCTGTCTCCCTCCTATTAGATCATTAAGTGAAAGAGAGATAACATGAATCACCTTTGTGATTCTGTGGGTGTGCAAAGTCTGTTGAGCAAACATTCATGGTTGACCTCTAGGTTATCAATCAGCCATACGTGGATGATATACCTCATGGGGGAAGAGACCTTAGATCCACAGTGAATAACCATAGGTTGTTCAAGAAAGTGAATGGGGATTCCTATTACTAAACTTAACTATTTAACACTAATTTGCATTTAACAGCTGAACTGAAAGAAATAAAGCTTTGAATTAATGATCCTAAAGGGAGCTCACATAAAGAGTCACAGCTCCTCTTGACCTAAAAGTGTGGAATTCTAAGGCAGTAAAGTGATTTAGGAAGCGACAGAAGGGTTTTTCCAAAGAAACAAATTGTTCACCCTTCTTCTCTTCGGTGAGTTGAAGTTGAGTGTGGAAGTCTAAAAAGACCTTTGTTCTTTCTGAAGAAGATGAAAAGAAACTAATTTTTTTATTTTTTTGTTTTTTTGGGGGGTGTTTTTGGTTTTGGTTTTTTTCCCGTACCAGGAATCGAACTCATGATCTTGCACTTGCGAGGCAGGCGCTGTACCGCTGAGCTAAATCCCCAGTCCCGAAAAGAAACTAATTTTTTAAAAAGTGGTTTGGGGAGAGAATGACTGAGGGATCTCTAGCCTCTGAGAGCTAGGGTAGCAGCAGTGTTGTGCAGTGCACTGCCAGCCATGAGGACAAATAAGAAATGTGCCCCACAAAAGAGAATGTGTAGATATAAAGCTGACCTAATGGACAGAGTATTAGGAAAGAGATAAGTAATACTAAAGAAGCCTAGAGGAAAATGTTTGTATTTTTGCCTGATGTGGACCAAGATAGATAGCTGATGTGCCAGAAAGAGGGGAGAATAAGAGGGAAAGTCGTAAGTGCTGCCAAGAGATGATATAGGCAAACTAGTACTGAAGCAGGTTTGAGTGCTGGTGGAGTCGAGCAGGATAGTTTTTAAGTCTGATCCTACAAGGGAGGGCTGTTCAGCTATGTGGGGTAGAGGAGCCATGATTCACCATCTAAAATAAAAATGCAGAGCCTCTACTGAAGTTTAAGAATACTATGGTCTTTGGTCTATATCTAGTGCCACTAAAATTTTGTTGGCTTTTATTGAATGTTGTAAGATTCCAGAATGCACCTAAAATGTGGAAAAACAAAACTTGTTGCTGGAAAAAAGCCTAAACTGAAAAATGTGATCCAAGTCAACAAATTAATTTTACTTTAAGCCAAAGGAAATGTTTGAAATTAAAATGCTGCCAGGAAATACAAAGAGTATTCAAGACTTAGGAGGAACATTTATGAGTATTTTATGTTTGGTGACTTTTGTGGCAGTAATGCATTATTGGAACTTACAGATAACCATTTTTAAGGATTCTGTTCATTTCAGGACCTGAAACACAATGGAAATGTCAACTTTTTCCTTCTCTAATGCACCTTACACTTTCAGGAAAAAGAAATGTATGTATGTGGGTATGAGTAATAGTTGACCACTAATATGACTTCTAGGAAAAAACCACAGCGTACTTTGTGGTTTATTTTCAGGAAGATAAATTGAAGGAAATGAAAGAAGGAAGTGGGTCATTGCTTTTATTTAGTTTCATCTGGATATACATCTCAAATTTACTATGTCCTTTATAATAGGTTACATGACTGTATTTTCACAATTTCAAAAATCTGGGGTGGGGAAAAATTTTGTGATTTTTAGTAATAAATTTACAATGATATTTTCATATAAGAAGTACTTTCTCAATAATGTTATTGAGGCAGGGAAGTAGTACAGTGGTACCAGCTTACCTAGCCTGCATGAAGCCCTTGCCTCAATGCCTAGCACCGCAAAACAAACAAAAAGAATTGTATCAAATCATACCGGTTTTACATGACATAACATGAGCCCTGAGAATGGCTGTGTGTCTTTAAATCAAGGAATAGAAGTTCTGTGTTTGTTTACTTGTTTTTGGCATTCTGCAAAAAAGAAAGTAATGATTAGGAACAGCTAGATGTCAAAAGCAAAGTCAATAAAGAAAAATGGAAAAAAAAAAATTGTTAAAGTCATTTCCAAAGAAATAAGTGAAGGACGGCAAGATCTCTTATCATCAAGCTTGACAGGAGGTGCATTCCAAGGGGAAATTCTAAGAAATTTAAGCCTATTTTGGGAATAGGCAGGTACCCTGGTAGGTAGCTACTAGCTTAGAAAATGCTTAGATGAGATTAGACACTAAAATTGGAATGTATTTCCTAAATTGTATAGCTGTAATTATCCTATAACCTGGTGTGTCTTTCTCCTGTACATTATCCTTTTAGATATGGAAGAAAGCAGCACTGTTGCCATGTTGGTACCAGATACTGGGGAACAGGAAGCTGTATTGACTGCCGAAGGTGTCATCAGTCCCTCATTAGAAGTTGATGAACAAAGAAAACTTAAAGCAGATCCATTAATACATGTTATCCAGAAGTTAAGCAAGATAGTAGAGCATGAAAAGTCACAAAAATGTCTTCTAATTGGGAAAAAACGCTTGCATTCGAGTGCTACAGCACAATGTTTTGAAGCCGAAGAACTTTGTGAGATTCCAGCTAAAGTAACCCAGTCACCTGCTGCTGGTATTAGAAAGGCTGAGGTATCACAAGCAAATTTTATCCCTGACTCTGTTGCCCAGAATGATGGGACTGGGACGGCTATGTCTTACCAGTGTGGCCTTTGTAAGTTTCTATCATCTTCTTTTTCTGTGTTAAAAGATCACATCAAGCAGCATGGCCAGCAAAATGAAGTGGTATTCATATGCTCAGAGTGCCATGTTACATCCAGAAGCCAAGAGGCACTTGAAGTTCATGTGCTAAATGACCACAAAAATGATGCCAACAGTCACTCTCAATCCAAAGCCCAACAGCACGTAAGCTCCTCCAACTCATCATGTCAGAGAACCACAGAAAGAAGTGTTGAAACCGTTTCTGATATTCCACTAAATGTGGACAGTTCACAAACTCTTAACGTCCAAACTGCATCCATGGCAGAAATGGGTAAAAGAAAGTGGTATGCATATGAACAATATGGCATGTATCGATGCTTATTTTGCAGTTACACTTGTGGCCAGCAGAGAATGTTAAAGACACATGCTTGGAAACATGCAGGACAAGTTGACTGCACCTATCCAATCTTTGAAAATGAAAACGAACCCCTTGGCTTGCTGGATTCTTCAGTGCCTGCTGCACCTGGTGGAGTCGATGCAGTAGTTATTGCTATTGGAGACAGTGAACTCAGTATCCACAATGGGCCATCTGTACAAGTACAGATTTGCAGCTCAGAACCATTATCGTCTTCCTCTCCTTTAGAACAGACTGCAGAAGACAGAATACACCTAAGTCAGGCAGTTACCCTTGACCCTAGTGAGGAAGAAATACTAGAAGTGATGTCTGATTCAGAGGAGAATCTGATTGCTGACAGCCTACTTTCATCAGCACAGAAAATTATTAGCAGTAGCCCAAATAAGAAAGGTCACGTTAATGTGATAGTGGAGCGTTTGCCAAGTGCTGAAGAAACTCTTTCACAGAAGCACTTCCTCATGAATGCTGAAATTGAAAAGGGGAAAAACCAGCACCCAACAGAAGCCCAGACTGAATGTGGAAGAACAGATGATGTTTATCATGCTGATAAATGTACCGTTGATATCGGGGGGTTGATTATAGGCTGGAGCAATCCAGAGAAGAAAGACAGTGAGTTAATAAGTAAAAGCCTGGGTACTGATGAGAATGCCCCTCCAGGCCGAAGAAGGACAAATTCTGAGTCTCTTAGGCTGCACTCCTTAGCTGCAGAAGCCCTTGTCACAATGCCTATCAGAGCTGCAGAGCTAACAAGAGCTAATCTTGGGCACTATGGTGATATAAACCTTTTAGATCCAGATACTGGACAAAAGCAAGTAGAAAGTACATTGGCAGCATATTCAAAAATTATGTCGCCACTTAAAAACACATCCGATGGATTAACTAGTTTTAACCAAAGCAGCTCTACCTTGGTAGCACTCCCAGAGGGTAGACAGGAATTGTCAGATGGGCAGGTTAAGACCGGTATCAGCATGTCCCTGCTCACTGTAATTGAGAAATTGAGAGAAAGGACTGACCAAAATGCCTCAGATGATGACATTTTGAAAGAGTTACAGGACAATGCCCAGTACCAACCCAACAGTGACACAGGTTTGTTAGGGACCAATCTGGTGGAATACATCCCTAATGCTGAACAGCCCTACCGTTGCCGCCTGTGCCACTACACAAGTGGTAACAAGGGCTACATCAAGCAGCACTTGCGAGTCCATCGGCAGAGACAGCCATATCAGTGTCCTATCTGTGAGCACATAGCTGACAACAGCAAAGATTTGGAGAGCCACATGATCAACCACTGCAAAACAAAAATATACCAGTGTAAGCAGTGTGAAGAATCTTTTCCTTATAAGGTAAGCAACACTTCACAAAATCTTTTGGGGACTTCAGAGTTTTAGATTGAAGAGAGAACTTTGTAGATCTTGTGTAGCCACCTCATTTTGTAGATAAGGAAAATAAGTTCTGGAAACATTTGATGCTTTGCCCCAGGGAATCCCAGCTAATTAGTGTTAAAGTTGGGACTAAAATCCAGGTTTGACTGAGAATTCTATCCGTGACTGGTGTCTCCTTACTGGCCTCGGTATTTACTGGTTTAATGTGTATACCTTTGAAATTATTGCCAGGGATAGAGGCACATGGCCTGTAATTCCAGCCCTTGGAAAGCTGAGGCAGGAAGAATGCCCCAAGTTCAAAGCCAGCCTGGGCTGCGTAGTGAATTCAAGGCCAGCCTGAACTACGTAATGAGATCTTGTCTCAGAAAACAGTATTGCTTTTAAATCACAAGGGAATGTATAGTGGATTAACATACACATTTGATCCATACAGATTTAACTGTATATTATCAACACAAAATATTGGTGTTTCTCATATGCCCCCCAAAATTGCAGTCAGTCATCTTAGCTGCTACATAACAAGCGGTAATTTCTATCATTTTATCAGGAGGAAAAGTGGGCTGTATTAGAAAGCCAGTACAGGAAAAATAGAGCCACATATGGTGTGTTTAGTGAGCAGTCTAAGAAACTTCGAAGGTTTACTCAAACTGATTCTTCCCTTGTATACTGACTATAAACCCAACAGCCAGTATCAATGAGATTTATTTTGTGAAGGAGGCTTGCCGTCATTGAATCATTGGTTTAGAATTCTTCAGTGTGCCACCTGACTGAAAAATTGTATAAAATGTATCTTAATTGCCTAACTAGAATATAGCCTATTTTTTTTTTCTCAGATTATGCAGAATTAGGGGCCTAGGTAGTGGTAAAAAAGATAATCAGGAACAAAATAGTCTTTTCTGTTTGAGAGTCACTGCTGCTTGGCTTACCCTCATGAAATTCTAAGTAGCACATCCAAATAGGCTGCAAAGGTGCGCAGTTGGCCTGCGTACCGTGATGACGCCCTCTGGCTGGCAGCCAGAACATGCCTCACCTGAGCCTTGGCATCAGGAACCCAGAATGGGGAGGACCAGTGGAGCGGGGATTTCAGGGAACCACTCAAGGATGTGGCTCAAGGGAGCCACATCAAGCTATATGCTGATAACGGCCTTAACTTGCCCATCCAGAAGTTTCTTTTGCTGCTGCTGTAAAAGATAGCTGCCTATTTGAGGGGTAGAAATAGCTAAGGGTCTCTGTCCTTGAGGGAGCAGTTGTCTTCTTACCACATCTAGTTGGTATTTAAAGGCAAAAAGTAGCAGGAGTCCACTGGTTACTGACTGAATTTATTTTTATAGAAGTGTTATCCTGAACACTGTGCTCTTTCCATCTCTGAGCCGGCAAGTGGTTGGTAAGCATGTAAATGTTGTGCATAAACACCTTCTAACATACAGATGACTTCCTTTCAGATAATGTAAAAGAGGAACTACCTTAGCTTTTTTTCTGTAAATTGTCAAATGTGTCACTGTTTTAGACAATTTGATTTTAAAATATTGGTAATACATTCTAGATACTAGGCCATGAGAGCAATTAAACTCTTTTTTCCACAGTCTCTTAGTAATTGGACATGTATATTTATTGAAAATTACATAATCATTTCTCTCTATTTATTTAGAGTAATCTGAGGAATCATGAGCGAGAACAGCACAACCTTCCAGACACCTTGTCAATAGCAGCTTCCAATGAGCCAAGAATTTCCAGTGATACAACTGACGGGAAATGTGTGCAGGAAGGTATCTGTGCATTTTTAAATACAGACCGCAGTGACTGACATGTGAAGTGAAAAATGCCCTTTGTTATATGGATTATTTTCAGGGCTAAAGCATGTATTCTTTTCTACTTTTGTACTATGAATGTCAGTGAATCTTAGCTTTGTTCCTAAGGAAATTCTGAGTACTAAATGAAGTAAATTTTTACTAGGTCCTACAAAGAGGTACAGTACTAGATTAGTTAGGATTCAGCTTCCTCTGTACAAGTAGAAATTGCAGTTAAAAATTACTGTGTCCTGTAAGAACCATGCTATACCATAGACCCTTAGAAGATGGTATACCAGCAAGCAAGAGAAGCTGCAGCATAGAAAGCAAGCCTCCTCTCCCTCTCCTCCCGCCTGTCAACCTGCAGAGAACATAGCTGTTACAGATGGTAAACCCCCACCTCAAACTTGAACTGAGGCTCTCTGCTGTGATCTTATTCTTCAAGTATAAGTGCCAGATTTCATCCGCACTCTTCAGAAAAACACACAGGTCCTTTTATGCACTAGTTAGTTAGGTATCAGTCAGTTGAGTCTCTGGGAATAGGAATATTGGAGAATCAAAAGATTTAATTAGAGTTCCATGAAAAGGCGCATGCCACATCAAGCATTAGGGATAAAGTGTAATAAGCTGCACTTCTTTTCAGCAGCTCACTTAAATTGATAAGCTTTAAATGTCTCAAGCGTGGTACACAGTGTTTATGGGAAATAAAACATATTGGGGTGACTTTCCTTTTTAGATTTCCTAAGAATTAAAGTTTGAAACGACTACAAAGTGAAATGTTTTACCATAATGTTTCATTAAATTATACCCCAGAAAGCATAACTGATTCTAGAATGTTTCTGAAGGAACTGATTTTGACACCACTGTAGCACCAAAATTCCCCTGTCAAACAGATGTCATCCCTGTAAAACTATCCAAAACAAAAGGAGTTTATGACATGGCATCTGTTTCTGCGATAGATGGCTGAGCTAAAACAGTTTTGTTTCCTTTTTACGAAATAGCTCTAAATGCCTCCTTTTATTTTAATTCATTATGTTTCCATATCCCCCTTAAAGGAGACATTAAAACATTAGAAATGAATGGACCATAAATCCCTAATGAAGGAATAAAGTGCTACTCAGTAGCACCACCTACAGTTGATATGTGCTGGGATGTATCTTTTCCAGTACCATCTTAAAAAGCAAAATTTAAAACTGCTCACATAGTTAACAGATTAAATATCACAATTTTAATAAAATTATTCAAATTTCAGCTCAAAATTGACCATTCCAAACTTTATAGTGTTAACATGTGTCCACCATATTCCGCTTCACAGCATGATTGATCTTTTTGGATTATGTTCTTGTTCTTAGGGTTAGGTGCATAGATTTTAAATTGCTTGCCATGCATTTAGCCCCACTTGTCACTATTTGCTGTTTTGTCATAGCAGTATACGCTTCTGATAGCTGACCTCATCCTGCATACTTACACTTGGCTGGGTACTTTATTAATTCAGCATTAGATATTTTGAACTCTTGTTGACAGGCCAGAGAACAAATCTTTAGCTCACAAAGAAGGTAGAAATTCATGCATTGTTAAAACTTCTTTCATTACTTAGTAAACTTATTTAAAAAGAGGGGCGAGGTATGCCTTTGTGGTTCATGTCTTATCATTCTTAAACTATAGATGCCTGCAGGCAAGCTTCCAACACAAGTCCAGCATAATTGTACTTCAGGCATTCATTCAGCCAAACTACCTTGCATGCCTGTCTTAAACTGGGGACTGTGCCTGGTGCTGGGGGATACAGTGAAGAGTGTCACTGTCCTTGAACCCAGGCCAGTGGAAAACTTAGAAGGGATTAATGGGTTTGTCAGCAAACTCCATAGGTCCTCTGAGAAGAGCCTTGGACAAAGCACTCTCTCATGTGGTGTTTCCTCATGAAATTTAATTAATTATCCTTTCTTAGAACCTTTAATTTGTGAAGCCCTGGGGGTTCAGCATAAACAAAGCAGGTAGGTCCTTAACCCTGAGATTCTATAGCTTAGTAATAGGTCAAAGAGTTTACCCAGACAAGTAGGTAATATACAACTTTGGTGAAGAGAAAAATATAAGACTTCCTAACCATGCTGTGAGATTCTAATATTTCCATTTTGTAGATGATAAAACTGAGGCTTGAAGAGAGAAAGTAATTTACCCATGATCATGTAAGTAGTAAGTGGCAGAGCAAGGACTCAGTCCCAATTTAGAACTTTAAATCCAGTCTTTCCATTGGAAACATTTGTTTGAAGTAGCATAGGCTCTCATTCTGTGCTATATTAAGTTTTTCCATCTGTCACTTTTATTAGTTGTCATTGATCTGTAATATTTCTCACATAAAACCATTATCCAATATTTCACACACTTCATTTTTGAGGTTTTTTTAAAACTATATTTGGAACAGTGCCATTTATAATCAAGTCCAAGTTTTTAACCTACCAATTAAAAGCAATACTTAGATTATAATTATGATTAGTGTATATATTATTGTTATAGATTTATACAAGGAAATTAGGACATTTTGTTCTGCCTGACAGTGTTATTAGTCAAAGAAGATTTCAATTTTAGAAAGCTTAAATTTAACTTAAGGATTTTCTTTGCTGAAATTTCAATGTGGGTTTTCTTTTGTACAGCTAATTCTACTTTTATGCTTCGTGTACTGGTATTCTGCCTAAGCTTTCTTCCTGACAAAGGACACACAGCTCTTCCTGCTCTGCCAAATTTTTAAGCTACCATGCTTGCCTCTTTTCTGAATATAAAGCAGTCAATGTGGGAATAGCTGTGAACTTTATGCTGACAGAAAAATAGATAAAGCATCAAATATCTTCAGGAAACAATTTCATATGATCAAGCCATTCATCTTGTATTGTCATGCTTGAACTACTCAGCCCTGTTGCAGAACGAGTAACATTGCCTGTTCCCATCAAATCCATGTTTGCCTAGAGAGCTGCATACTCTATTCATAACCTTTGTCCCTGTAACCTGTCATTTTACTAGATAAAATTGTACTATATTGTAGAGCACTTCATAATTTGCAGTTGCTTTTCTTCCCATGTTGAAGTGATAGCTGACAGTAGTTGCAAACCAGGGAAATCCACAGGACAAAAGACTTGTATGCTTTTTTATTGAGTTTGCTATATGTGTTTCATGGCCATACTTTATATTAGATTGTATTATTAAATTATAGCTCATTGCCAAATCATTGTTTCTTTAAGACAGTATATCCAATATTAATCAGAATAACATCTTTCAGATTAATAGTGTATCTCTGGTTAATTCAGCTGCCACACAATCAGTAGGACAGCTGGAAGCAAGTTCATTATACTTTTAGAATTTTATACAAAGTTATGCAGAAACCAGCCCAACCTATCTATATTCACAGGTCAGATGATGTTCGATTTATATTTGCTGATAGTCGAGGTGCCAGAGAATCTATAAAGCCATTTCAAACTTGTTAAATTTAAACAGTGAGAAAACCTTGATTGAAATGTTAATACTGTGTGGTATAAATATTCACTTACTATGGAATGGAAATGCTATCATGTGAATCTTACAAAAGCATGCTTCTGAAACTCTGAAATACCTTGTCTAGGGAATAAGTCTTCAACCCAGAAACAATATAGATGTGACGTGTGCAATTATACAAGTACAACATATGTTGGTGTCAGAAACCACAGACGAATTCATAACTCTGATAAACCATACAGGTAAGTATGATAATCCTAGAATTTTAATGCTTGTATTAAAATATTGGTAGTAAAAAAAGAAAATAGAAATAATTACAAATTCATAGCACTTGTTGAATCACAGGTTACTAGGTAACAAACTTTTATCTGCTGGCCTCCTAAGTCTTCTTTAATGTGTTAAGGAGTGTTAACTTTTAGCTCGTCTCAGTACCCATAGACATTTTGTCTGGTTGAAATGGAGGGAGATAACTTGTCAGCTTAATGTCATTTGGGTATAAATTATAACAGGTTTTGGTGTAGAGTACATCTCAGTGATTTGGTGGTTAGGTACTTTTACTTCCAGCAAAAGGTCTTTAAAGCTTAAAGGTAGTAAAATTCCCTGTAAAGGTACTATTGAAAATTAGCCTATAATGTAGAACTGTCATGTGTAGAATAAGGTTATTAGTTCAATTTTGTGAATTGATTTTTCACAGCTCATTCTAATGTGCTTTTAGAGAGAATATAGGCATTCTCAGAATTAGCTAATAGACAGAAATCATTATTTCTTAAGTAAACTTGGCCTTTTGTAAATAAATAGTTCGTTATTGGTTTGTGGTACTGGGGATTGAACCCGGGGTCTTTGCACTGACCTGCATCCCAACCCTTTATTTTTTGTTTTGAGATAGAATCTCACTAAGTCACTGAGTTACCAGGCCTAGCCTGGAACTTCCAATCCTCTTTCTGATCTTAGCCTCCCAGAGTGCTGGCATTACAGGCCTGCACCACTTTGTCAGCTTGTTGCTTGTATATAATAAAGGTATAGATACTTTGCAAAGGTGTCCATCTGTGCTGGAGCAGTTTATTCTATTTGCAGCCATAGGAGGACATCAGGTTCCTAAATGAGAGCTAAGCTGGCAGTGTGAGTGATGTTATGCCATGGACATGAACTTTTTTAATCTCTTGTCAAAACTTTTCATGTTTTAACTCTTCTCAGGTTTTATATGTATAACACAAATGAGTATGGGAAAGTTGCTCTATTAATTTAAATGATAACCTAACAGCATAAAAGTTCATTATTTGGCCCATAGTGTAGTGCTGCCTCTTTTGTTTTATGTATGGCTTTAAATATTTAATATGTGCTTAATTTGCTAGCCAGTAGACCTATTTAATCATACTTCAGACAGTGCATCTATTTGCAAAGTCTTGTAGCTCTCTTGAAGGTGTTTCACCTTGCCTCAGTATTTGTAATTTTTATTTCAACTATCTCCAAAATTAGGATCCCTAAGATATTTTTTTCCAGAACATAATGAACACCATAACAGTTACTCAGTGCTATAAATTCTAGTGGGATTTGAGCCTGGAACATTCATGATTTATACTGGGAATATTTAGAAGAACATGAGGGAAACAGATACTAGTTTTCCTGATATGAAGAGAAGGCTTTGCCCTTGTATATTTTAAGTCTCTTTATTCTTAAGTTTAATGATATGCCATGCCAAATTCATGTGATTTGGGCAGTAATGTTTTCTGGGTCTTGAATTAAGACTGCTCATCCATTCATTAAAAAACACAGAGCAAATGTGTTCCAAGAACTGTTCTTGGTCTATTCATAACAAAAAAGTCATCATGTTTGCTGTCCTTCGGCTTGGAACAAATACAGGTTGAGCATCCCTAATCCAAAAATTCAGGAGTAGGAGATGTAGCTCAGTGGCATAGCATTTGGCTGGCATGTGCAGGATTTGATTCTGAACACCACAAAAACAAAAACATTTTGAGTGTTGATATAATGTCACAAGTGGAAAATTCCGTACCTGACTACACATGACAACTTACAGCCAAAGTGCATGTACATTAAAATAATACTGTATAAAATTACCTTCAGGTTCTGTGTATAAGATATTATGAAATAAAAAATAAATATTGTGATTAGACTTGGGTCTTATCTCCAGGATATGTTATTTTGCATAGTCCAGTATGCAAAAACAAACTCAAAAGTCTGAAATACTTCTGGCCTTCTGCATTTTGGATAAGGGACACTCAGCCTGTAAATAATTAGGACAAATTTGTGAAAGATGTTAATGACTGATTTCTAGTAGTACACTGGAGTGTTTTGTGTCTTCCTGATTATACTAGCCTTATAATGTAAGGACTCATTTTGACAGCTATTGGTGTCTTAGAGATGTTTTCTTATGTTCTTAAAATATTTGCAGACTCAGGATTACTTGTAGTTGTCTGAGATCTTTCTATCAATGGGAAACATTCTATGAAAATCCTCTTTGTGTAGCATCTAACGAATCTTATTTTCTAATCTTCTGACTCTTTAACCTCCTTTAAATACTTTAAATGCATATCCTCCTTTGTCTTTTGAGATGCAGTCTACATAGCATTATGGATGAACATGTTACATTCCAGTATGTTTCTAGGACTTTGTCTTCATTGTCATATACTTTTGTCAGAAACTGAGCTAGTTACCATAGCCTCCTTGATGTCTGATCTAATTTAAGGATTACTTTTTTTTTTTTGGCTCATTTCATATCTCCTTCATTCAGTGTTATTACCTGATACACTCATAATCAGAGTTTGGGTTCGATTTTCTCAGAGTCCATACTCTATGCATTTCTGAGTGCCTGCATTTTGTTGAGAACTATGCTCACAAGTAACAGTGGTGAATTTTTGTCAGCAGGTTTCTCCTAAAGCAAGAATGTCTGCTTGCACAACTGATCTTTGTACAAGTGTGTCAAACATGCTTCATGTTCACCTGTTATATAATACATTTTTAGCAATATTGATACCTTTTCCTTTTTGGTGACTTTACTTTCTGTGTTGCCATCCTAGTCCTTCACTGAACCTATTTGTGTGACCTGTACAACTTCATGCATAAGAGTGTAGCCTGCAGGGATAGATAGCCTTGGGATTGAATCTGAACTCTCTCACTTATGGGATTTGTGGCCTTGAGCAAACTGTTCACTGCTCTGCGCTTGGTTTTATAATTTATAAAGCAAGGATAATTAAGGTTATGAGGATTATATGAAGTGCTGTATAAAGTACTGTCTTATAATAAGCAGCCAATAAATGATAACTGTCTGGTAGCAGTAACTATTGGACCCAGTCTTTCACCTCATCCTTTCTCAGTGATTCATTGGCTAACCAGAAAAAGAAAAAGCAACAAAGGCTGTTGACCTCTCATCACTTGGGAAAGAAAGAGTAATCCTGTACTTGGGTAAGCAGGCATAGTTTATTTCACAAAAGAGATATGCCCAGGTAGAAATGCCATCACTGCTAGAGTTTTTTTCCTTCTCCCTCTCCTCAACTGCCTCTCTCTAATTTTTTTTTTAAACAGACTCTTTAATTGAAGTTAGCATACATCCTGAAAATTGTATGAATCATAAATGTTCAGGTTGGTGAATGATCATAAATTAATCATGCTTTTAATAGAAATCATGGGAGTCCCTCAACATTATCCCCTTCATAGGCCTTTCAATACACAACTAACCTCACTTCATTCTATTAACTACTGTCTTAGCCACAAACATCATAAATTAATTTTGCTTGATTTTGAACTTAACAGAAATGGGATCGTATAATGCATACTCTTTTATGTGTAGTATTTTTCATTCATTCACTGAATACCACTGTGTGTATGTGTGTGTGATGTGCATATGTAATTAGTTCTAATTCATTTCACTGCTATATAGTATTCTATTAAAAGATGATAATATGATTTATTTTCCTGTTGATAGACATTTGGGTTAATGCTAGATTTTCTTCACTATTACGAATAATGCTACTTTGAACATTGTTATACATGCTTTTGTATACATACATAAAATGAGTCTATTTCTACTGGATTTATATCTAGGAGTAAAATTTCTGGGTAATTTGGCATACATACATGTATGTCTTAGTTACTTTTCTCTTGTTGCTGGGACAAAATACCTGATGCCCAAAATTAAGGAAGGAAAAGTTTATTTCGTTTACACTTTGTTGAGGTTTCAGTCCATACTTGGTGGATTACAAGGCAGAGTGGCACATGGCGGAGGGCTCATGGCGGCAGAACACAGGAAAAGCAACAAACACCCCCAAGGGCGGAATGGCTTCAAGCAGCCTCTTCCTCTCCCTTACATATGCAAACTATCCACCCCAGGGCGGGTGCAGCTCTCATATCCATAATCAGTCAAACTCTAAAAGCCTGCCCCATGACCACATGAGGCTTTGAGGGGACACACAGACACAAACCATAACAATGTATTAATCAACTTTCTCATCACTGAGACACAATACCCAACTCCCATCAGTTATAGGAGGAAAGGTTTAATTTGCTGGAGGTTCTAGTCCATGATCAGATTCAGTTGGCAGAGGGTGTGGCAAAGTAAAGCTCATTAACTTAGGGAGGCCAGGCAGAAGAGGGAATAGCACCAGAACACAAGGGGAGAAGGACCAGACATAGACCCCAAGGCCCCACATCTCCTTGACCCACCCACCACACTTAGAAGTGTGCTTCACCAGTCTGGGCAGTACCCCAAAGCCAGTCTCATTGAAACTTTAACCATCACAATACGTGTTTAGTTGGGGTAGATATTGTCAAGTGGCTGTGCTAATTCATATCCTCACCAACACTTGTATTGTCAGTCTTTGATTTTGGTCATTTCAGCATAGGTGTCGTGAGTAGGATGTTACCATGATTTAAATTTGCATTTTCCCAATTTATGAGATTGAGCACTTTTTCATTTGTATATGAAGTCATGCCCATTTCTTTACTGGATTATCTGATGGATTGGCAAGAGTTGTTTACATATTCTGAATATAAGTCCTTATAGATTATTGATATCCTCTCCTGTACTATAGCTTGCCTTTCTACTCTTGGTGAGAAGTTTCTACCACTAATGCAGTTAAATTTATAATAATTATATTTAGAACTTTTATGTTTTTATACTCTGAAGTGGTTCTGATTTTTCTGGTGAGACATGATACAGAAGTAAAAATACATACTGGTTTTCAAAGCTGTCAAATTGTCAGTCAGAAATATTGTGTGCTCAAATAAT